AAAAGTAATTTTAGACCTATATGGCATTGGTTTCTTAGTGTGGTCCACCCTACAGGGCTGACGGTTTTGCTATGGTTTTATGTGAAACGCTAAAATAATAATAAATAATAAAAGAAACATAGTTATTTCCAGTTTGAAACTGTTCCAAAATGTGTACAACTTCCTGTTTCAAATGTAAAATGACAGTTTCAAGCTTGAAGTGAGGCATTTTAACTTCAGAAAAGTTCAGATTTGAAATGTTTTTGCATACTATTCCCAGACTCCTAATATTTATACCAGCACTCCCTGTTCTCTCCATGTTCAAGAGAGTTTTTGCACAAGAAGCATTTAGACAAAAATGTCAATCATGATTTAAAATCAAGATTTCATTTCACTTGACTAACGATTTACAAAGCAGTGCCTCCTCCAGTTTCTTGTCACCCTAACTTTTTTCTTGTTCATCTTCTATTGTCCTGTGTCCATGACCTGGTGGAGAAGGGGGAAAAGCTCAACTCTTCAGATGTTAGATCTGGGGGGGAGGATACTGATCCTCATCAGGCTAGGTGCTATAGATATCTTATTGGGGCAGAATATGAGCTTCCAGAAAGAATTATTACTTGGCTTACAAGCTTCAACCTTTCTCCAACTTCCTACTCTTTACTAGCTTATTAACTAATTCACATTCACATATTTAGACCCTAAATAATTAGGAGGGAAGTCCTTGGGTAGAGAATACTGAAGCAAATTCTTCTTGGGAAGAAGAAAAAGGCTCCTTCCCACTCCTCACCTAGATTAGTCTTTAAATATAGATATAGATCTATAGATATAGACAACAGAGGGTATGCATGACCCTCATCACATATTTATCCACTCATTTATCCAATGTGGTGGTTAATCTGGCGTTCCTGGCATGCTCACCAACCAGAGTTTATTGACTGCATTTGCCTGGGATGAAGTGATCTATATATTCATAGAATGCCTTCATGTAAGAGGATGGTTTGAGCCAATCTTTCTTTGTATGACAACAAACTACACTGCTGAACACACTGGGCTTCTTCACAGGCACATGGAGCATGCAGTCAGATGGGGGCTGGACTAGAGTACAGGGGCTCCTGTATGCTTTGAACATGCTAATGTTTAATCGTTAAAATCTAGATTTTTCTCCCCAAATATTTTCTTTCCATTTTCCACATATATAGCCTTATCCGATTTTAGCTCCAACAAACATGGGGTTCTACACTAGGGCCAAACCAACACAAGAAGAAACGTTCATTTTCTTTAGGCTGAAGAGGATAGTTTGATATTTATCTCTTCCATACTAAAATTTATGATTTGCTCATATTGCCAGCTAGGCAGAGTTATAGCCTTTACATAAACTGTATTATCCAGGGTGCAGAATGAATTTGTAAACATTAAAAATAGAATGTAGATGAACTCGTCTGCTGTTCCCATGCTCCCCTGCCAGTTAACAGTTTTCTCCCTGCTCAGCTTTGACACTGAAAATCAGTGCAGTGCAGTGGTTGAGACGTAAAATTAGGATTGAGAAAACCCAGATTTGAATCCACTCTCAGCCACAGAAGCTCACTGAACCAGTTCCTATCTCTCAGCCTAGGCTATATTAAGGATTGTTGTGGGGAACATTTGGAGGAGCACGTATATCACTCTTGAGATCCTAGAAGAAAGATGGGATAGCAATCTAACAAATAATAATAATAACAACAATAATAACAACAGCAGCAGCAGCAGCAGCAACAGCAGCAGCAACAACAACAGAACTGAACTGGATTCTGGATAAAGTGCCTGATGAATAATACCTAAGTAGGGAAGGCAGACAATGAATTGGTTCCCCTTATCCATGCATTTTTTAAATGGAACATTTAGCTGTCCCACCAATGTTAATTTGAGGCAAACGAAAGCTTTTATTTTGACATCTCACAGGAAACTAACAAAATGGATTACACGAACGTTATACATCCATCAAGCAGATGCTTGCTTGAGCAAATGAGATGGTGACCCCCTTACAACAAAGGGTCAGAGAGGCTTATTCTGGGCTTCAAAAAGCATGATGAAGAATTCCAAAAGGAAATAGGTTGATTTGGAGATGAAACTGAATAGAATACATAAAGACAACGATTCATACTCTGCTGTAACTGCCATGGTTTTCAGTTACTAAATTGAGGGGGTTATGTGGAGTCCTTGATGCTCTCTGAGCTTGGTTGTTTGCTTGCAGATGTTTCATTACCTGGCTAGGTAGCACCATCAGTGCTAATGAGTGTGGGGTTTGTTCCCAGTTTATATACAACTGTCTTTCTATGACACCACTTCACAAAATTAACATCCCAGCCCTATACCTTTTACACACAGACACTCTCATACGTGCATGCAGGATGTCTACATCCACTATACACCAAGCACTCAACCCTGTCATACTGCCAGGGGTATTTTTGGATAGAAACCAAAGTGCATATCAGCGTTCAAAGCAATCACTAATTTTATGCAAATAGCCTCCTGCAAATACTGCTCAAACAGAAGACTTCTAGTTAAATGTACGGCTAGGATGTTTTACGGCACGCCTCACTATGTTAAGTGTAAATTTAAGGGTAAAGGGAAACAAGTTAAAGAGAGAGCCCATATTTCTAATCTGTGGTAAAATCGCATATATTTCTTTATCAGTTCTTTCCACGTAAGTTCCACGTCGTTCAAACAATTAAGTACATGCCCATATAAAATGTGCATTTGTTTTTACATGCAGTTTTTCCTATGTATGTATACAGCCACAAAACTATCACTGGGCAACCAATGTATCCCTTGGGCTGAGAAGTTCTGACAGAAAAAACAATTTTAATTAACTTAAAAATTGAAGAGAATGTTTCGGTCCCCTCTTCATAGTGTTGTGAGAGGAAGAAGGAAAGTGCGTAAGTCAACACTTATTACGGCTTGTGATAAACTGTGATTTAACACCACAAGTACAATTAGCCTCTTTTCTTTCAACAATGTACTGCATTTTCTTCATGGCCTCCTACAATCCCTGAGAAGGTATAAAAGTGTTCCTAGTCTTCTGTCAACCATAGTTTATGACGTGGACCTGAAGATTCACTTCTATTATTAAAATTGAGTAAGGCAGCCATTCTACCTCAGATTCACCACAGAAGTTATCAATTCATAATAGACATTACCTTTACTAAGGAGGTTTCTACCCGAGGGATGCTGATCATAGGCATTTGTGCCAGATTGTCCATGTGCGAATGTTCATTTTCTGGTTGTCTACCTCTAAAATTATTAACCACGCATACCACCTAGAAGGAGAAGGAAGTTGTTAGATACTATGAAACAATTATGACATCTAGGTCTCAAATATGATTTGATAGAAATACCATTAAAATTAAACTGAATGATTTTCAAAATATCTCCACACCAAAAAAGTCGTAATTTAATACACTGCTACTTTATGTAATTGTAAACCCAGTGTAGTTGAAGGGGAGGTTGCCATGTTATTCCTGGTACTTAAAACAATGTTTTTAAATACTTTGGTGATATTTCCAAACTAATATAGTTGCAGGGGTTGCAGCTTGATAGAATATGACCTTAAAATTTAATCACCTTCTTTAAATTAAAATGGAATCATGTCAGTGTAAGAGTTGATGCTGATGAGGCTGGAATCTCAGATTCTCATGACTGAGAAAGTCATTTTGTAAACAAGGGACAGATAACCTTGGAAAGAAGCAGCCCAGTGACTGCAGACTCAAAAATGCAGGAGAAAGAAGCCCAGGAGATCCACATCTACATGGAATGTGGGGATTCAAAATGGCAATGACTGTAATAAAAGAAGCTCTGGGTAAACTAGAGTCTTAAAAAAATTACTCTCTGAACAGAATAGGCTAACAGTAAAAAGCTCATAGATGGAATAACACAATATCATGTGATTGCTTAGGTAATAAACCTTGGGTAGGGTAATAAACAGTTGTGTTTATTGAAATGCATACAGCATATGATTTTATATATTTATTTAATTAGGTAGGGTTATAAATGCTTGTCATTCAGGCAAATGTATCCTGATGGATTAATGAAATGATGGATCTTTCCAAACAGGCAGACATAGAACAGGTAGAATAATGTGTAGCTTATACATACCAAAAACACAGCTATTGAAATACCGACTAGAAATCCTGCTATCACATCTGACCAATGATTTCGATATTCTGCTACTCTGTTGATACCAGTAAGAAATGCCATACACATTAAGCTCAAGCAAAGAACTGGTTTTGCCAGCCTGGTTCCTCTGGCCTTTATTGTGTGGGTGATGTACATCTAGGGACAAAAAAAAAAAAAAAAGGAAGCAAGGAAAATA